TCTTGCACTTTTTCCTTTTGCTTCTACTTATTGTGACGTTCGTACATTTTGCATATTAGTTAATCACCCAATGTACTTATATGCATTTATGTGTCTTGAGATTCCTATATGATCGCATGAAATGATAATTGTCATTTTCATGCAGGATGCATTAAAGTCTACTTTGGAAGCTTCGGTGATTCCTGCTTTTGAGATGTCATGTAAAGCTATGTTTGAGCAAGTAGATGCTACATTTCAGAAAGGAATCGTTGAACACACTTCTGCAGCTCAGCAGCATTTAGAATCTGTTCATTCTCCATTGGCACTGGCTTTAAGGGTGTGTAATCTGCTTTGCAACTTTAACTATGGCTGGCATTACCTTCTTAATTACTTTGAAGATTATCATGTCCTGGCAGTTCGTTGCCTGTGATATGCAAATTTTCTATGCTAAATGAAATGATATTCAGATTAAGATCATCGGATGGTTCGGGATGAGAATCTGGTTGAAACCAGATTCAGGACGGATACAGATAATAACTGAGTGAAGACTTTCTGTTTGGAGATTTCTGAAAGATTTTATGCTCTTTGGGATTGTGTGAAGCTAATTAAAGGAATTTAACATTTGGTGTAGCGGTTTCCTGTGAGATGGCTGAAGAAAATTCTCATCTCCAAAGATTTTGCATCCACATCTGACATCATTTCTCATAAACCGCATTAACAATCAAATGTTCTCTTCTTGCTTATGTTCTTTAATTTTTTCAATCGGTTCATACACTCTGTACCTTACTAATGAATGTTCTCTTCTTGCTTATCAGAAGATGAGGAGATATTAATGCTTTGCTTATTTATATTGGTTTTAAATTCTTTCTGAATTCTCCTGGATGTTCTAGAATAATATTATTCTTCGTATGATTTTGCAGGAAGCCATTAATTCAGCATCATCAATGACGCAGACCTTGAGTGGAGATTTGACTGATGCTCTACGGAAGCTTTTAGCTCTCGCTGTAGCTGGAGCTAACTCACCAGTAAACCCATTGTTTACGGAATTAAGCAATGGGCCATTGGGTGGTCTACAGGAAAAGGTTCGACTTCTTGTATGAAATTCTGGTCGCCACTTATATCGCTACAGAGATGTGTCATGTTTTCTACACAAGTTTCGGGATTGTCTTGACATTTGTAGAGGAGGAATTACAAAACAAGTGTTTTCCGCATTGTAAGTTGAACATAACTGTGCATGGTTGTGCCTCATATTCTTCATGAACCTCTTTACTATGAGTCTCCAATCAGAAGAAAATATGTTGCTTCATCTGCCTTGCATGTGGCTTTTCTTCAGGAGATTGTCCTGTCAATCATCTATTACATGCACAATGGAATGTCAGTGTAGCGGTACCTTTTATGCCGAGTTTCAATGTACCTTTAATTCAATACTCTAAGTATTTGAATTATTGAGCCTGCTTGGAAGGCCAAATATGATGTCACTACTACGTTCCAGTTTCCCCCCTTTTTCTTGTTTTACTTTGTGGAGAACTGATATGTCATCTCTGTAACAGGTTGAGAAGCCATTTGATCCAACAAAAGAACTGTCGAGATTAATATCTGAACACAAATATGAGGAAGCTTTCACCTTGGCGCTGCAAAGAAGTGATGTGTCCATTGTATCTTGGTTATGTTCTCAGGTATTCAGTTGTTGATCGTGGTATAGAAAGTATTGCATCTTTTTCAGGATTTTCTTGTCTTGCCTGTTAAATTGAGTGAACCTGGGGCATAAGGACTGTTTATAACTAGTGATTTGATCTACTATGATAAAAATTCCAAACGATCCTGATAATTTTTGCTTTTGTTTGTTCATGGCTTTGTGAGCCAGATCATCTGCATTTGCAGTTGGTTGACATGTCAGATAGATTGGATTTTGTGAGAGATGTTGAACTTTAACCTTTTTCGTCGTTTTGACAGGTTGATCTACATAGGATCCTGACAATCACACCTCTCCCATTAAGCCAAGGAGTGCTGCTATCTCTCTTGCAGCAGTTGGCCTGCGACATCAACAAGGACATGCCCCGGAAGCTGTCATGGATGACCGTTGTGGCCGGTGCCATTAACCCAACAGACCCAGTAATCGCGGTGCATGTGCGGCCCATCTTCGAGCAAGTTTACCAAATACTGAGCCATCAGCGCACTCTGCCGACCAATGCCAGCCCCGAGCTTTCTAGCATACGCCTTCTCATGCATGTCATTAACTCCATGCTGATGACCTCTAAATGACACAATAACACCTGTGAAAGTGTTTGTAGTAGAGCAAAGTCAAAATGAGGCCCCATAGTAATTTTAGTCGAATCTGTACAGATCTTTAGGGAGTTCAGTTGGAGGTTTCTAGGGCTGTAAAGTTCCTGTAGTTCTCGACACTGTGAAGATAGGATCCGACTCCCAACGTTACAAAAAGAGTAAAGAAAGAATCCATGATCGTTTGCAGATTGCTTGTTTCTTCAATTGAATTCACGCTAGTCCATCCTCTTCACGACGGCATCGATCCATCGGAGATCGGGTTAACGCCAACACACGAGCTTTTCTTTGGTCTCCGCATGTAACGCATCTGCGAAATGGGGTGTTTTCGTCATCTATATTTCTGTTTTACTAAAAATTTCATGATAAAGGAAAATAGATTTCACGGGAATCATTTTAAAGGAAAATGGTTAGTTTTTATTTGTTTAGTGATTTAGGGAAAGTGATTTCCTTCCTGTCAAAATGGGAAGTCGTCTTCTTCCGATCAAAGATTGTTGTTTTAAGTCCATGGAAAACGTTTTCTGTGAATCGATCAGTCTCCCGTCATCCAAACAATAGAGTCGGAAAGTAATTTTTCGGAAACAGTTTTCCCTAAAATAATCGGAAACAGTTTTCCCTAAAATAATCGGACGCATTGTTATTACTATTGTCGGGGCATCCGCAAGTAAATGATGAGGGGGAGGTAGGGGAAAAAGGCAACTATGGCAAGATTCTTGTGCCATGAGATCCCCGACCAAAGACATTTTCCAAGTCGCACGGCACTTAGACTGATGTGTCTGCCGTGCAACTCCCGTGGAAGACATAAAGACTACTTCCCTTGAAACGGTGTTTTTTCCTCTTTCTCGCACTCCAATCTTGGCCAAGTCGTATTTTGCTTCAAGCATAAGCCGGCCATCAATGTTGACGAAACGTCCTCTTGTCGGCGGCTATTCACAGCACTGGTTTTCTGATCCCAATGACAATTTAGAAGCCACTGGCATGCTGCTTCCCTCTGCTTTGTCAAAGGAGTGCTCCGAGGGGTTTGTCATCATACACTCAAATTAGGGAAAATTTTTAATCCCGATTGCATTTCTCGCATCATGTGTAATCGGTACTTTGAAAATCAGTATATTTCTTTGTTAAATACAGTTACGCTTGTGTTCGGAGAGAAATTTGACTAATACAAGGATACCGTCCAAAAAGAAGTACTAATAGGGGTGATCGATTTTCGGGTGATTCAGTTCCCGCCCAAAGAATCAGGAACCGGACAGGAAGGGCCGGTTCCCAATTTCAAGAAGCGAAAACCGATCCGGTTCGATTCCCAGGTAGGCCAATGGAACGATAGCATGTTCAATTTTTTTCTTTTTTCATTTATCGTTAATGTACAATGAGAAATTGAAGATGTTCTCAATAATCAAGGCATTTCTACAATTAGTGAGTTACGTATAAAATCGTAGATTTCACAAAGATTTTTTCAATTTGTGGCAAAAATTGGTTGGGATGAGTGACTATTGTTGTAATCTCATTTGTTCGTATAATCTTATTCAAGTACATAAGTAAACGTAATCGTTCCAGCCTTAAAAGTCCTCCTCCTTTGTGAAACGACGTATAGATTAGGATATTTTTTATTTTATAGATTTTTAAGAATTAAAAAGTTGAAGAAAATTAAAAAAAAAAAAAGATGGACCGACGCCTTCCAATTTTATGGAACCAGAAACACAACCAGTGCCCTCTAAAACCGCCAAGAACGGGCCGGTTCGGTTCGGTCCGGACGCGGCTCTTTTTGCTCGCCCCCTCTAAAATTCTAAGTGGGACTTTGGACATAATTAAGGGTAACCCCATTAAGCCATCGGGAATCATAACAACTACGCTTTTTGCTTTTTAGCCGCTCCGCACTAATCCTTCGTTTCATCGGTGCGATTCGAGCGGCGGGACTTATGCCCTCCGTCGAGCCTTTGCACGTCGGGGCACGGGCACGAGACCGATTCCTCGGGGATGTCTCGCGGTGGCCGACGCCGGATTCGGGGGTACTTCCATCAGGGGTGGGGGAAATCGGAGGAGCTCCGAGCGGCGGCACGACGTGTCGATTGCCCAAAATTTCGAGGAAAATAGCGAGAGAGAAAAAAGAAAAGAAAAGAAAAGAAAATCATTTGGCACCGCGCAAATCAAAACCGCATTTTCTTAATCGCCCAATTAAAAGCTAAAGCGATCATCTAATTAAGTATGATTAGCGAGTGCCCGAGGTTCACTTGTCGTCAAAACGCCCCATCAAAATAAAAATATATTTCAATCGACTTCCATAATTGCGCAGAAATTACCGACGGGGCAGGCGGACCAAATTGAATAAAAAACGAAAGGACAGGAAACAAAAAGATTCACATGACAAAAGGAAAAGAGAAGGAAAATTTTCTATTCGATTTTTTCCCTTCCTTCCTTCTTTCCTTTTTTTTTTTTGGCTATTTCGATTTCCAAAGGGGGCAGGAAAATCCCATCTAACAACTTCACAAAAAAATGAGGGAAAAAATCTACCTGCTCTTGCTCTCTTCTGTCGAGGAAAAAAGACAACAAAAAAAAAATTTCATGACTCGGAGGGCAGGGAAGGGAAGGCAATCGATGTACAGCCGGCGGAACATCCACTTTACAATTCCTGATTGATTCTGGGCACACCCAAGAAGGAAGAACAAGAAAGATGAAAGATGATGATGATGGATTCGCAGAAATTTGCCAGGAGAAGGAAGATGGAAGGAGGAGGAGGAGGAGGAGGAGAAAGTGCAAAAAAAAATCTCGTCTTTTTACCCTTTTCTGGGTTCAATCGCGCGTGGATTGTCTTGGGGCAATGCGCATTTCACCAGCACTGATCCGTCTCCCACCGCCGGGTCGGGCAGAACCCGCCGACCCCCCGCGGCCGGCGGCCGCGGCCGATGCCGCTGGCGGCCGCCCCCCCACCGAGGGACAGATCGTACACGGCCCGCGCCGCCGGGTCGGAGAGCGTCTCGTAGGCGCCGTGGATCTCGATGAAGTCCCGGCCGTCGCGCCCCGCGGCGTCCGGGTGGTGCGCCTTCGCCAGGGCACGGTACGCCGCCTTGATCTCCCGGGCCGACGCGTTCTCCCGCACCCGCAGGATCTCGTACAGGCTCGGCCCCTCCCCACGCCGCGGCAGCGGCTCGAGCTCGGCGATCGACGGCGACGGTGGGGCGCGGCAGGTGGCGCGGCAGGACACCCGGTGCCTCGAAGTCGGAGTCCTGGCGGCGGCGGCGGCGGCGGCGGGGTAAGCGGCAGCTCCGGCGACGGGGCGGCGGGGAGGAGGAGAGGCGAACGACGGAGGAGGAGGAGGCGGGGTTAGGGTTAGGGACATCTGAGAGTTGGAGGAGAGCTTTGCGAGGGGCAAAATGGGGAATTTGATCGGAATCTCGCGAGTGCGCATACATGAAAGAGAGAAATCGGGGAAGGGGGGGATTTTATACGCGCGCGAAGAATTCCGACCTCGGGGGCAAATCTGGAATTTCCAACCGGGGGGGGGGGGGGTTCGAGGCGATGACGTGGCAGGGCGGATTTCTTTTTCTGGGCTTCTAGAACATCTGCCCTTTTGTTTTTTATTTTATTTTCTAACGAGCCAATACCACAGAAAAAAATTCCAATAAGCCAGTACACTCGTGCCGTACTTATTACGAAAATTACAAAAAAAACAGGTCAAATAGGTACACCGACATCGTATTTACCTCGGGTTAATTTTTTTGTATCGCGAAAAACCTCAAATCGGATACACTGTGGGTTGCATTTACCCCGGACTAAATTTCATGTTCTACCAGCCACGCGTTGCTTTCTATCACATCACTCCGAACGAAGTTTTATTATAACATTCCTCCGGTTTGGAAATTGATCCGCAATCGAGTTCTTTATTTCATTTATCCGTTATTAATTTCTAATTATCAAGTTCAAGAATGTTAAATATTAGGAAAAAAAATTTCTTTGTATTGCACTGTTTACGCCTTACTAGATTTTGTATCACAAAAAATTAAAGATTTTTAGTACCCTCGAAAACTTGAGGGAGCCCTTTGGACAAAATTCAGCACGTTTTAGCGGAGTAGGTAATCTAATATTTTGATGATTTGAAATTTCTTGTAACAACAAAAAAAAATAGATTAAGAGTAAATGTGGCACGAATATAACGAGAAGATTAGTTTGTGTATAAGCGGCACGGGTTTACCGGCCTGTAATTTTTTGTGATACACAAATTAGTTTTGTGTAGGTGTGATCAGAATGTATCAATTTGAAATTTTGTTTTTTGAATTAATTTTCTTTTTTTAGCTCTCTTTCTTTTTTATTTACGTGCATTATGAGATAGCCAGTGACTGGAATGATTCCGTGGGCTGTGGCTTCGGTGGGAAATTGGAATGGGAATGTGGGAATGGGTGTGTCATTGAATGATGTGTTGGAATTTCCACCGACAGGAAAGGCCCTTTTTTCTTAAGTCTTTTAATCCTTTGTCTAGCTCAAAAGATAACATTAAAAAAAGCTTAGAATGATAAAGGATTATTCGATTTTCGAGATACTAATTGTGCATATTACGACGACGGTCGATGATGATGTATTCAAAAATTGTCGTTGTTTAGGGTTCGGGGTCACTTAACATATGCTCTAGGGGAGTTTTTTCAAACAAAATCGTTTTTCACTATCTCGGAAATGATATGGCTTTTTGAAATCGTGATTATATGTATCGGATGACACGAGAGTGGACGATATACTGCAAATTATATAATTCCCTTCATTAGTCGTTCAGAAAGCGTTGTCCAAGCTCTGTTTAACAAAATGATAATAAACGAGCAACAGCGTGCAACTTGCCAATGTCATCTCAACCCAGGGTTATGTTATTGAATAGGTCAATCAGAGCACAACTCGTTTAGTAGCGTGTAGAAAAATTGATCGTACTAGACGACCCATTTATGAGATCTTGTACACGGTCGATATAATATGTTTAGTCATTTATGTTGTGCATGCAATACAATTAAATCCTAACAATTTCAATTGATTCGATTGATTTTTATATTTTTTACAAAAAAAGTGCAATCAAATATCCTGACAAAGATTACATACTATCCACATGGTACTCAAAATTTACCTACGTGGCATTCTTAAATTGTGCTTTAGACCTGTTAAATGGGTCTCAACACCCATATATGACCCATTTAAAAAATAAATGGGTCGATACAATTTTGAAGAGCCCATCTTAAATGGGTATTAAAGTTTTAAAATCTATCATAAATGGATCTTAATGGGTTGAGTGTGGAACTTATTTTCAACCCACTCATTAAGCCCCCCTTTTTATAAAAATATTTTTTAAAAATAAAATTTTTTAATTTTCTTTTTCCTTTTCTTTACTTTTATTTTTTTTCTCTTTCTCTTTTCGGCCGATGGCCGGCCACCGGCCACAGGGGAGGAATGACCTCGCCACAGGTCGGCGAGGCCTCAGGCTCGTCGAAATCGGGCGAGCTTGGTCTCGCCGGCCTATGGCGAGGCTCCAGCCTCACCAATCTGGCGAGACTCGAGCTCACTAGCCACGGGCGAGCTCGAGGCTCACATGAGGCCGGCGAGGCCTCGACCTCGTCAAATCAGCGAGCTCGTCCTCACCCGTGGCCAGTGGCCGAACGCCGATTGTCGTTGTGGCCAGCCACCAGCCAAAAATAATGGAAAAATTACAAATAATTAAAAATTGGATTTTAAAAAAATTAAAAATTGTATTGTATGAAAATGTTTTAGTGGTATAATTTTTAAAAGTCATAAGAAATAAGTTTTCTTATATTGAGTTAAATATAGAAGTGTTTTAGCAATATGGGTCAGGTCGGGTATGTGTCGAGTCGGGTATGGGTCGGGATATTTACATTACAAATAAAATGGGTCATAAACGGGTTAATGAGTCAATTTGGGTCGGACCATTTATAACCCGACTTGACCCACTCGTTTAACAGGTCTATTATGTTTTTTTCACAAAATAAATTCTAAAAATTAATTGCATTTTCCAATTAAGGTTGGAGCTCAATCAAATCAATTGAAATGTTTATAATTCAATTGCACTTTTTATAAAAGTTAATAATTTAATTGAACCGATCAAAAGTTAATATATTCGGTGGCATTTTATAAAAGGCATGGACAGACCAGATCGATTTTAGTGAGAAAATTATGTGAACCGTGAGGTGATTTTATCGATGCAAGTCATTGAAGATGGGGTTGACTTTACTCTGTGTTATTAATGTAAGTCATTAAAAGTATGATTTTATTCCTAATATTCATTTCAATTCCAAGTTCAAATATAGTTTCATACTATTTTTAAGTACGCAATTTTTAATTTACATTTATTTGATATGTTCTTTAATCTGTAATTAAATTTTTTTATATATCTTCTCACGGTTATTTCAATAGCAATATGAAACCGCAGGGATTACTGTAACTTGGTTTAGTTTCTTCTATTTTAATCTCCATTTGCTTTTAGAACATGAATTTCATACAAATATTTTTACTTTACCCGGATTACATATTGACTCATACGAAAACTTCATTCTCTATTTTCAATTTAGCTTCTTTTTTTTTTCTATCTTTTGATTGGTCGGTGGAAATTTTTCTTTGGATTTTTAATTATGTTCTATGTTTTAATTTTTTTTATTCGGTTATTCATTTCAAGCTACCGTTTCCGCTTTTGTCTTCTCTTCGTGTCGTCATGGCATCAATATCTCGTTTGGTAAATTTATTTTTATCACGGTTCTATTTTCATTGGTCAAAGAACCTTTTTTGGAAAAATATATTCTATTTAGAATATATTAGAATATATTTTAATGTATATTTTCCACCATCCCCGGCAACAAAAAAAGTCCGGCAGAACGACCCGTTGACCCACGCCATCCCCGGGAACACGGGAGCGGGAAAGCCTCGTACGTGCCAAAGCTTCTAGAAGGCGTGAGGGACACACACCCTCGGGAGCTACACGTGTCGCCATCTCCTCGGTTCCGGACGCGCCAGTCCAAAGTCAGTCACTGCGAAATCAACGGTTTGAGACGCGTGACAGTGACCACCCATCTGTCGTCCTAGCATTCGTCAGGTTCGGCGCCGCGCCGAGTAATTAACAGAACGTTTGATCATAGTAATGTCGATTATAATGCAAGTTTATTGCAGATTGATTGTTTATTACCGTGTTTGCTTACAATAATAAATATTGCAGCATAATTTTTTTTATAATTAAAAATATTTATTTATTTATTTATTTATATTTTTTTATGCAAAATGAGTTATCCTATTTTTCAGATTATTCATTTTCTGTAAAATAAACGCATTTAGCTAGCATGCTCGGATATATCTACCGAGACAATAACGTATCTACCGAGAGAATAACGTATCGTGGCGATTGACTCTTTCTCATTCGAGAGCCGCGTTCCCTTGAAATGTCCAAAGTAACATATACTTTTAACAATAAAGAAGAAATTTGATGGAAAGATGGTTTCGAACTGGTTATATGCGGCTCATTTGAAGTTTTTAATCGAAGAAGAAAAATCGAATCGTTCGAATACCGTTATAACTCTGATTGAGCTGCAGATGCTCCATTTAAGATAAGAGGGTTTCGTTGGTAAATACCATATCGCATCAAAACCCACTTAGAATGAACAAATCAAGGATTGATTTATGCACCTAGCTTGATGGCAATGGCTAAGTTCATTAGTTTAAATGAATTCAGAATTCCCATTGCTTCACCTGTTTCTAAACACTGGCCAACCCTTCTCCGTACTCCAATTATGAAAACGAAGCAAATTTGTGTCGAGGGAATCTTTTCGTGTGCATCACGGCATATAACCCTTCATTCCATGTGGATAATCTAGGAATATACATTTCCCTAGCCCCGACTCTAGCGTGCCACCACTCACAACAACATAAGCAAGGCGACCAAACACTCCGTGTCCAACATAACTGGCGGATTTCACTGATTGCATTTCTTTAGGAGTTTTCCAATCGTTTGTGTTGCGATAGTGATCTGTTCACTAATCAATAAGCGGTATGCTCATCTAACCCATCACTTTAGAGAAGAGAGCGGGCCTCTCTTCGACACAATTTCTACGACTCCCGTCCAGCTGCGGTGTGTCGGCATCAGCACCGTGATTTGTGTATCCAAGGCATCTAGAAGTCCTCGTTGCAGCTCCAAAACAGGCCTGTTCGGTAACTGTCTTGCGTCAGAAGTGGCCACTGGCCAGTGTGATGAAGTTAATGTTGTTTTCTATGTCCTTTCTTATTTTTATTTTTACTTTTTATGACGGAGTTAATTGTCTTTAGCTTCATTGCGTGGAGAGATTGCCACGTGGCAAGGCTTCTAGAAGACTTCCTTTTCAGTAGATTCCACTATTTTTTTTGCCCTTTCGCAAAAGTACAAACCGTTTCGGTGGTC